CCACACCGAAGCCCTGGTGCTGCAAGGGGAACTTCTGAACCACATAGCAAAGCAGCACTGCTGCTGCAAGAGCACTTTTTTAGGCATCTCTCTGCTCCCAAATCCCTAAAGAGCAGCTGCAGCTCCCTGTGAACTTCTCCTGGCCTGGGTCTCCACAAGGCACTGCTACTCCTCCTGGTTCTCCTCCATTTAACCAGGCTTCAGTCCTTCCTGGCTGCGCAGAGGGGTGCCTGCATGTATTGCAAGAACCCAAGACCAACTCTTCTTAAAAACTCTTGAGTTTTCATTCTGCTTTTACCACTGACTTGCTGGGGGTCCTTGGGTAAACCCTCCTTACCACAAGTGCTAAGTCAACCCTGGCATAACTCTATTAATTAAAGTCAATGGCATTACACCAGAGTTAGCCTCATGTCTTAGTTATGTCCGTTCTCTGGAAAATGGGGATAATACATAAGTAACTACTTCACATCAGTATTAAAAGGACCACACTTTTGAAGTAGGGTGAAGTCTGCTTACGCCAGTGTTGAATTTGGCCGGGAAAGGACGATATTGTAAGGCCCCAATTTTGTAAGTCGTTCTGTTTGGCTATGTCTACACTACGGACCGTACAGCGGCACAGCTGCGCCGCAGTAAGGTCTCCTGTGTAGCCTAATTATGCCAGCAGGAGAGAGCTCTCCCACCAGCATAATTAAACTACCCCCAATGAGTGGCAGTAGCTATGCCAGCAGGAGATGCTTTCCAGCAGACATAGTGCTGTCCACACTGGCACTTTTGTCAGTGAAACTTGTCTGTTGGGGGTTTTTTCACACCCCTGACAAACAAAAGTTTTGCAGACAAAAGTAATAGTGTAGACAAAGCCTTCATGAAGACTCCTAAATGGAACAAATTGCAGGATCTGTGGCTTAGACTGTAAGCTTTTGTCTTTGTATGTGTTTGTACAGGGTTAGCACAACCTGGCCCTAATTCTGATTGAGGCCTTTAAGTGCTACTGTATTAGAAATATTAAATAATGGTAACAGTAAGTGCTAAGTGTTATGGGGGGGAGAGCTGCTCCCCTCTCCCACTGAGGAGACTAGCTGTGGCTTCATCTCCTCTGACTCTCTACCTTGAGCCCTTTGGAAAAGCTGCTAGTTCCATCAGTCCTATTTCTGCCAGTGTTTTGTTTATATATGGTCCTGTCGTTATCTGTAAAATGAAGACAATAAATGAATCAGTCAGAATATCTTTCATACGCATATGCATTCCATATCATAAATACGCTCTCATATTTTATTATTTTAAAGTCTGAATTTTATCAGCATAGAATTGTACATTGTTTGGGTTATTTTACTATTATAACGAGGAATTATAGAAATATTTTATTCTTATCCATATCATGTTAAAGTCAAAAACACAGAAAACTGCAACCGATCTTTATATTTTTATTCCTTGCCTCTAAAAGACAAATTTGCAAATGTCTGTGAAAAAGGATGCCATATGGAAAGGCTAGCAGAAGGGCAACTAGTGAACCAGCTATATGTGCCAGTTTCAATTTGTCACACTTTTCGTTTCTGGGAAATGCTTTATCCTTGTTTTGAGCAAGAAAACTCTCATAAGGAACAAGTTAACAATACATTTCTCAAAATACATCCTTTGTGAATGGAAAAGAAACAATATGCCTCTATATGCATAACTCCATGTATGGAGGGGAAAAGGCAAACACCCATAAATTATTTAAAAGGATCGGTAATTTTAGCAATAATCCAACACTAGGATTCCCCAATAACAACATCATGGGTTACAAAAAACATACTGAAATATCTTGAAGCTACAGATGCATCAAAATCATCTTTTCCTTAATACAAGTAATTATAGAAAATGTTGGTTATATAAGCCCCAGTCCTAAAAAGATTTACACACACACTTAACTTTACACACCAGTACTCACATGCATAAAGTTAAGCACATGAATAAAGGCTTGCCACTAGAGAATTTGGGCCTTAGGTATGAAATACTGGTTTGAAACAGACATTGTTTAGATTGCCACTCCCTCCCCCACTCCAAATGGCAGCCTTATCTTTAAAGTGAATCCCTATAATACACCTCTACCCCGATATAACGCTGTCCTCGGGAGCCAAAAAATCTTACCACGTTATAGGTGAAACCGCGTTATATTGAACTTGCTTTGATCCACCGGAGCATGCAGCCCTGCTTTACCGCGTTATATCCTAATTCATGTTATATCGGGTCGTGTTATATTGGGGTAGAAGTGTACAAGGCAGATAATAGACTAAAAATATTATTATTAGAGCACAACAAGTGGTAGACACATAAATGACATTATTTCTACCTGAGGAACATACAATAAAATTAAAATGCACAGAGTCTTCAGACATAAATAGTAGATATTGACTGTGAGATAACCGCCAGAAGCCAGATACTGCCCTCAGTTACACCAGTACAATCCCACTTACATATATAGCTGTAAATTTTCAGGGATAGCTTTTCTGAGTGCTAGGTTTGGTTCCTAAGTTACATTTACTTTTGTATTTATCAGATTTTTTAAAAATTACTATTTAAAGTATTTGATGCTTTTGGAGTATTTGAGACATTTGTGGAAGCTTCCTTTGCTTAATTATGTAGCAAAAACTGTACAGTATATGCTGACTCGCCTGAGACTGAAGACAGTGGTTGAGTTCGCAAATTTCATAAATAAACTTGATGGTCCTACATATGCAGTGATAAATCTTGTGTGTAATTCACCTACCTCGGCTGCTGAACTCAGATATCTGGGGTGAAAAATGTCCGTTGATTTCAATGAGTCTAGGATTTCACCCCTGATTTTCAGTAAGAGCCTGCTTTTTACCTAATTTTACAAATAGATTTCCTGGGAATAGGAGGTCAAGTGAAATTTGCCCAAGATCACACACAGAATGAGTAACTTAGACCTGTTATGCTTGTGTTTAACCAAACAAGTAGTCTCATTAAGGTTAATACGCTATTCACACGTGTAAAGTTAAGCACATGTGCAAGTTTTTGTAGGATTAGTTTTAACAGATTTTGATCCTGAGAGCTTTGTAAAGATTTACCATGTTTAATTTTGCAGGATCAGGATCAAGGCCAGTCAGAAAAATTCTGCAATTTGGTGCATAGTTGGTAATAAGGAACTTTGATAATATTCTGTGATGGTCATTTATCAGTATAACTATTTTGATTTTCCTTGTTAATTTTCAGGTCATTCAAAATAACAGGGTTATGGAACTTTTCTGGGTTAGCAGGTATTAGAACTCTCCATAACAGCAAACACTGTAGCATTTTACAGCAAGGACCATATCTTTGTTGTATGTTTCTGCACAATGATGCTGCAGCTTCTGAGCACTACCACACTACAAATACATAATAATACTTAACAATTATTCCATGTGGGCTATAAAGAGGGTGGTATAGCTCCCTCTAAAGAAAGAACTAGAAAGTTGGCTGGGTACCTTACAAAAACAAATATATGTTCCCCGCCCCAAAAAGCTTACAATTGAATGCCCCAATCATATAACTGGATCTGTGTTGGTGGATCCTTGTGTCCACGCAGAGCCCTATTGAAACCAGTGAGACTTCCTGCAGGCACAAGACTTTTGTGCAGATCCAATCATAGGAAGATCAGGTACTAAGTTCATATGATACAAGTGGGAGTCCTAGATAGCTGAAAGAGAGATTGGTAGAAGAAAGACAAAGGTATGATAACATTGTTATTTAGCCATAAGTAATAATCACTATTAAGAAAAATTAGATGTAAAATATATATTAAATGTAGGAGGTAGAGTGCTTTGTTAACCCAGTCTCTAATAAGTAGCATGTGACAGAATTACATCAATGAGAAAGAAAAAAAAACAGATGGTTCTAAACTTTTAGAGATGATTTTCTGGAGGCATCCTAAATTGTGCCTGCCATTACTGGTAGTAATGGTGATTACTGTGATAGAAGTGAAACTGCTCTGTAATAATTTATGAATTTTGTATATTGACCAGATTATGGGAATGTTTACTGTATGAATACATTGGTTTAGTTTAATGGGGGGTTATCAGGAAAAACAAGCAGGAAGGAAAACAGTGGCTCAGGATAAGCCACTTCTCAGCAAACACTTAAGGGTGGATGAGAGACTGGAAAAGGGTGGATGAGAACTGGAAAAGGTCTGGGAACCAGAGGAACAAAAACAAAACCCTGTGGCAGGGTTAAAAAGGTAGACCCTGTCAAAGAAGGGGTAGATGTTGGGGAGTTCTTTGGGGTAACTAGACTGATACACAGGACCGTCAGGGGTGTCTGGAGAAACTAGGCTTACCTAGGTCACCATTACTAGATGGTAGGACTTTAGGTAAAATAGAAGTGTGTAGACTGTCCTAAAATCCTTTTTCTCTAAGTGCTTTGTTCCCACTATTAAAGCAAACAATACTCTGG